AAGAGAGGGAGGGAGGGCAAGCCCAATGCAATAGTACAGATGGGAGTTCTCATTCCTTCACCTCCCAGCCCCGCCTTGACAGGTGCACCCAGTGGGACTGAAATGTGTCCACGGCCTGCACTGGAGCGGCAAGTGCACCCACACCAGCAGATGCTTGGGCTAGAGGACATGGCAATGTGGAGGTGCAGTCTTGCCCTCACCTACTCCTGGCCCTCACAGACTCAGCCCAGCACACACTCCATCCAGGGAGCTCCTTGCTGTCCCCAAGGAGTAACTAAAGACAACAGGGACTCTGGATGAGCCTTTCCAACCCACCATCCTCTGGGCCCGGGTCTCCAGGTTCTCCAACACCAACTGGGCCGAGCCATCTCAAGTCTAACATGGTACCTTTATTAGAATTGATCACTCCTTAGCTCCCCCCAGGGGAGCTATTTTTGGATCTCGAGGGCTAACCTCGGAGCAGGGCTGACCTTGTCCCCGAGCTGAACTTGGCCCAGAATTTGTGGCCTGAAACTCACGGCCCCACACTCAGCCACTCAACTCCATCCGAGGTCGTCCGAGGGCCTGGCCCTCAGGCGTCCTGTCTGCTTGTGCTGGCTTGTCTGCTCCTCACAGGTTTGCTGAACAAGGCTGGGTCCGGTTCCATCATGGCATTGAGAAGGGTGTTCTTTGCCACTTCCTCACTCACTTCATCAAATAATTTAGCCTCAGCCAACAAGTTATTTTTGTTCAAACTGCCGCTCAAGCCCCTGAACAAGCCATTGGAGAACAAGTCATGAGTCATACGTTTTGGAGCTGGAAAAAGCAGCAACTCTGGGGCGGCACTCCCTCCCCACAGCAGTGGGATGACCGGCTCTGCCTGCCTGAGAGGTGGGGCTCTCCCACACCTGCAGGTCGTGAGCCTGCGCTGGACCCTGGCCTCTGGCCTCTAGCATCGGGCCACTTTCATCTCCTGACTCTAGCCGGACCCTTCCCTCTCCTGTGCCTTTGGGGTCCTACCCACCATCATCACCACCACCGTTTGCTGAGCACTTGCCGCATGCTAGACACCGTGCCAAGCTCTATGTGGGTCTCAGCCTCCCTAAAACCCTGAGAGAGAGGAAGGTTGGGCTACATATGTTTTTAACCTGTCTGTGCCTCAGTTTCCTCACCTGTAAAATGGGGGATAGTGACAGGACCTACCGTGCATGCATTGGTGGTTAGGACAAAGTGTGAAAAGGCATGTATAGGACAGGACCTGACACGTAATACATGTTCAATGCCTGTTAGCTAGTGTTATTACTGTGTTATCATTGCATTTTGCAAACGAAGAAACTCAAGGTACAGGAAGAATCTCAGCAGTCTTAGGTAACTTCCCTGTGCACATCAAGGAAGTGGGAGCAGAGACAGCAATCCAGGCCCTCGGCTCCAAAGCCTGTGTTCTTAACGACTGTGCTGTAGCTCTGCTGCCCTGCACTCCCCTCGTCTAATGGGGCGAACACCTATTCATCCTTCAAAGCCCAACTCACATGTCACCTCCTTGGTGAGCCGGCCTCAACTCCCCAAATGAACATTCCTCTCTCCTGGGGCTCCTATAGGTCCTGACATCCCTCTGTCAGAGACCATTAGTGATAACTCTTTGCATGTCTATCTCCCCATAAACCCGTGGTCGGCAAACTGCGGCTCGAGAGCCACATGCGGCTCTTTGGCCCCTTGAGTGTGGCTCTTCCTAAGCCTTAGGAGGACCCTAATTAAGTTAATAACAATGTACCTACCTATATAGTTTAAGTTTAAAACATTTGGCTCTCAAAAGAAATTTCAATCGTTGTACTGTTGATATTAGGCTCTGTTGACTCATGAGTTTGCCAACCACTGCCATAAACTATCGCTTGCTCTTACCACTGACAGCCCAACCCTGGTGGTGCCAATGAGCGTCTGAGGAGAATGATGGGGAGAAAGACAGGAGAACGAGAGAGGCAGTGACCCCTGTGGTATGAGCGGAGGACCCCGCACTATTGCTCGCAGAGAGTGATGCACTCTGTTGGCCCAAATCCCAGAAATGATGGTTCTGCCAATCACAAGTCTTCTCCAGTGGGCACTTAGGAGACCAGGGTACCCACGAAGGGGATGGGGTAGAGCCTAGTTCTTAAACAGGGACCTGAGCTGCTGAGGCTGAGAGAGCCGATCTCAGCCGATGCCCTTCGCCCTGGGAGGGCAGGGAGCCCAGGGCATCTAGAAGTTAGCGCTCAAGGCCAGGCAGGCTTCCAGGAGGCACAGAGAGGAAAGGACCTGGCCCAGGCTGGACGGGAGAGCAGGGGTTGGGGCGGGTAGAGTTGGGTGGCAGATCAGGAGAGCGGGAAGAAGCTGTGGACACGGTGCCTCTGACGTCACAGGCCCTTTGGGCAAAGGGGCAGGAATGGACAGCACTTGACGTACGTTCAGAGCTTGAGAACCAGGCCCTGTGCTGACCAAAGCCCTCACACACCTACCTCCTCCTGTACAAGGGAAAGTGGTCCAGAGTATCGGAATGGGGCAGATTCTGCGTCTCTGGAAGCATATAGAAGAGGGACAAGGACAGAATGGCCGAGATGCAGCCAATATAATTGGTGATGCTGGGAGGACTCCAGGTGATGAATGCCAGGGACACAAAGGATCCAGATGCCCAGGCCAGAGTCACCAGCCCCAGACCCGTCGTCCTGGAAGGAAAGATCAGAGCTTGTCTAAGGGGCCTCGGAGGCCCAAAGGCTGGAAGAATCAGCTCCCCCCAATCCACAACCTCCAGTCTCCACCGTGTCCCCACACCCAGCGTGACCTGGGAGAGTGCAGTTCTCTGCTGGTCAAAGCAGGTAGTCATTCGTCTGGGCCTACCTCGTGGGGTCAGGAGTGGGAGAAGTAAGACCCACGCAACCCTGAGGGGGTGTGCAGAGAGAGAGAGTGGGTAGGAGGACACTGGGCCATCAGCGAGCTCTCCCACGGTGAAGGGCCTGAGACTCAGCCACGGCCGAGCCGGTCCGTGCGAGGCAGACACGGGGACAGACTGCCCGGGACCAGTGCTACTTCTGCTGCTCGCTCTGCCTGACCTTGAGCCAGTGCCTTTACCGCTTGGATTCTGTTGTCTTACATAGGCTAAGGACGGTGTTTGGGAGCTGTTTTTGTGAGGGTTTGATGGAATAATCCATGTAAGCTGCCTGTCCCCGGGGGAATGCCCAAGCTTAGCCGCTGCTGTTCGTCTTGGCATCGTCCCGCCCTCTCGCCCGCATGGCCTGCTCCCACCAGCCCATACCTGAGGATGGTGGGCAGGAGCTCGGCACCGTAGGCGAAGAACAAGGTGATCAAGGCGCTCAGGCTGATTTGTCCCACCAGGATCAACAGCATCAGCGTGGTTTTCAACTCTGTAGCCAGACAATGTGACCACCTGAGTTTGGGGCAACCTTCCCATCAGGCCAGGTAGGGGAGGCCTGCCCAGCAGCAGTCCCTGAACCCTGCTCAGAAGGCATCTCAATGGCCCATCCCCACCGCCCGGCCAGCCCACGCAGGCGTGTGGTCAGAGGAGAGGTTCCGCCTGCTGAGGCCCGGCCAGCAGTGGGAGAGCTGCCAGGAGGATGGGCGGTCACACCATCGACTTTGCTGGGCTCGGCCCCCACACCCATGCCTCCCGCAGTCTCCTGTCTTCCACATCCTCCCCAACCCGAGCACCCCGCTCCGTAGGTGCATTTGCGGAGGGAGAAAGGCAGGGGAAGCCGCTTGGAGCTGAGGGTTCACTACCCCTCCTCATCAGCCTCTGCTGGATCCTGGTCCTGTTGGCCCCACTCCCCACTCTGAGCCCAGCTTTTCTTGGCCCTGGGAGGAGAGCAGACATATCTAGTGGGGATTCTAGTCCTGGTTTTCTCTCACTGGTTAGAAATTTTAAACCTTTCTGCTTGACGCATTATAGACTCACTTAAAAAAAAACAAAAAAAAAAACCAAAAACACCACCAAGCAATAGAAATTGAAAAAGGAATTTGTCTCGCCATTTTGTTTTAGCCAGTCCACACTACCAGCATCTCAGAGAATGAAGGTCCCACCCAGTCAAGAGGCTCACAATTCCAACCCTCAGAGAAGGAGGGGGAGCCCCCTTGAGGCAGACCCTGGACACAGTGGCCCTAGTCCAGGCCCCAGCAGCTGAGGGGGTCCTTGTGGGCAGCAATTCTGATTGGGGGAAAACTGACATCTTAATGTCCACATCCTCAGCCCTGTCACTCTCTAGCCCTGTGAGCTGACCTGGAGGTGGTGGTGGAGGGGGGGTTACTCATTTGCCCAAGGGCTCTTTGAAATTTTGAAAATATTGCCAGCTTCCCAAACCCCTGGCTTTCCTTCTTTAGTTCTGAGCCTATGGGACGCCAGGATGCTGGGTCCCCGGGTTCGGCGGGCAGGTTCAGCCTTCCTGGTAAAGTTACAGCTAACAGGCATTTTCCAATCAGAGGCTACAGATGAGCGGCCACGCCTTGGGGAGCAGTGGAAAGATTATTTTTGCTGCATCCGTTCACATTTTTTTTTCTTTGTTTGCTTGTTAATCCTCACCGGAGGATATTTTCCCACTGATTCTTAGAGAGAATGGAAGGGATGGGGAGAGACACAGAGAGAGAAATATCGAGGTGAGAGGCACATCGATTGGTTGCCTCCATTGGGGCTGGGGATTGAGCCTGCAACCAAGGTTATGTGCCCTTGAACAGAAATGAACCCATGACCCTCCAGCCTATGGGCTGACACTTAGTCTATCCACTGAGCCAAACAGGCCAGAACTGTTCACATGTTTTTTTTAAGATTTTTAAAAAATAGATTTTTGAGAGAGAGAGAGAGAGAGAAAGGGAGAGAGAGAGAGAGAGAAACAATGATATGAGAACAAAACATCAATCAACTGCTTCCTGCACACCCTCTATGGGGGATTGATCCCATATATTCTGACCAGGAATTGAACCAGCAACCTTTCGGTGCATATGTTCTGACTGGGAACTGAACCAGGAACCTTTCGGTGCACTGATGCATCTGTGCATACCCAGGGATGCATCACCCGATCTAATGTGGATTGAAATCAAGTGGAAGAAGGCTGTCCACTCTCCTGCCCACACAGGGATGATTACTCCAGACAGCTCACCCTCTCCCAGGCCTCTGAGAGCTGTGAGTGCCTGGTCTTGGGGACCCCACTGCCCAGGGAGGGCAGTGCTCTAGTGGTTAGTGCCTGTTCTGGAGGTACCTGGGCCCCTGCAGAGAAGGTAGGTTGTAGGTGTAGGATGCTGACTCCCAGGGTGTCTTGTTGGAGAGACAGGGCAAGAGGCACGAGGGAGGGATTTGACAGAAGGCATGGGGAGGGGGAAGGGGGTGTACCTGAGGGGATGAAAAGAATAAGCAAGTTCAGGAAGCTGCCTTGGAAGAGAGACCCAGCCATAGTCCACTTCCTCCCAAAATGCTCAAAGAGAAAGATGCTGCACAGCCGGGCAGGCATCCCCATCATGCCAGGAATTATCGTGCTCATCTGGTACTTCACACCAAAATCCCTCATCTTCAAGGTCAATGTAGAATAGCTGTGACCAACACTAAACCTGGAATGAGACCGGAAGATAACTACTCAGAGAGAACGAGAGAGAGAACACTCACAGATACCCTCATGCAGACGGGGCAAAATGAAGACAGAAGCGAAGGAGGGGGGAGCAGGGTGGGAATGGAAGGGAGAAATACACACACATCTGGAATCTACCGACCACACCCAGTCCTTAGGCCTTGCTCCCTTGCAGCCAGGCCATGCCCCATTCCTTCACCAGAGCTCCTGGCATGCACTTCTGTTTGCAGTCCCTGCTGGCCAGCCTTGGGGACTCACCACACACAGCCCATCACCAAGGTCACCTTGCGCAGTTGACTATTGTTATAGAAGTCCAGGATGGAGGCATTGGTCACATTCTTTCCAGGCACCTGTAGCTACAGGACAAACAGGACCAGCCAGAGGCAGGGCGGGGACCCCAGCTTGCTCCCACCCCTAGCAGACCCACAAGGCCCTGCCCCCACAGTGCCAGCCTGGTCTCTGGTCTTCCCCTGACGGGATTTGATTTTGCTGTCACTGTTCCCTTCAAGCAGTGGGCTAGAGACACCCTCTGGGCCAAGACCCACCTGAAAGGATGAGGCGGGAAGAGGCCCTTCCACAACCCCCAGCCCTGCCCTACACTGGGCCCGAGGCCTCTTACCTTGTCCAACAGACTTAAAGGAATGGTCCTCTTGTTCATGTCCGCTGCATAGCGCAGTACGTGCTTGGCCTCCTCTACCTTCCCCTTCACCAACAGCCACCGAGGGGACTCTGGGAGAATCCTGCATGGCACACCCTCCTTTATTCATCACTCCAAGATGCCCCAGACACCCAAGTGGGCCCCATCTCTGCCTCAGGGGTGGCCATCCTGTTCCAGCATGAGGTCATTCAGATAACAGAGGCCTTGAAGGTGACCGTCAACCGCAAGATGTCCTCCGTCCCTCCTTGAAAGTTCATCCCTTTCCCTTCCTAAGCCACACACAGGTCCCGCAGCTGCTCGGTGTCACCCTGGCCATTATTTCCCCTGCCTGGCAGTGTCTTTCCTCTCAGCCACCTTGAAGAGCTCAACTACTTTCTACCTCCAGGGTCATCCTCACCTGCCCAGGCACACGGAGGGCACTTGTCTTCCAGGCCCACACCCGTTATTAGAGCCCATCTACATCGCTGGGAGTTCAGCCCAACACTATGAAAAAGTTGTCCCCTAAGTGGCTCCATTTTTCAGTCCCTCCTCATTCCTCAACTCCCTGTCGCTCCAGGGAAGTCAACTCAAGGTTATCAAGACCAACTTTACTAGACTCTTTTTTGTTTGCCCTTAACCCTGACCATTCCTTGTCCTTAAATCTTGCCTTTTGGTTTTCTGACCGGCTCTGGCGTCCCTTTAACGGTCTCTTCTGAGGAGGGTTAATGCTGGAGTTCCAGAGGCTCTGCCACTGGCTCTCTCTCATCTCATCCCCACGTTCCTCCCAGGGAACAATCCACTCACTCCGTCCCTTCGAGGATCCTTCCAACTTCCAAGTCCGTCGGACCCAGCCCCGGGCATGCCCCGGGCCCCTCAGCTTACCAGATAAAGGAGACGAGGAATAACACGGGGGCCGTGCCCAACAGAAACAGCAACCGCCAGTTGGAAAAGCTGTAGGCGAAGGCACTCAGGAAAATGAGCCCCAGAGAGTAGAAGCACTGGCTCAGGATGATGGCGTGGGCCCGGTGCTCGCCCACGAGCCACTCAACAGCTGTGCAGAAGCCAAGAGGACAAAAGCCCGGTTAGCTCGGGGTCCCTGAGGCGGCTCCCGCAGCCAGCCTTCTGAGACGCCCAGCCCCGCGTGGGACAGTTCAGACTGAGCACACATTCTCTGTCCCTCTAGGCAGCCCGAGGTGGAGGTTGCTTCCTCCGCTCCATGTGCCATTGGATGGCAACTCGGTCCTGCAGGCTCGTGGCCCCTCCCCCGACCCCCATCGTCTCAAATCCCGCCCTCCCGGTGCACACTCCCCTCCATGCACCCCGTCCGTGCAGCCTGGCCTCACTTAAAGCCATGCTGGTGATGCTGTGGCCCACCAGGGCCTGGGACACCCCGAAGCGGAAGAACAGGTACTGGTGAAAGCTGTTGACGAAAGCTGTCCCAAAGCCAAAGATGATGATCCCCACGTTCGACAGCAGGATGGAGGGGTAGCGGCCAAGCCTGCGGGCATCGAAGGAAGGCTGTGTCAAGCGCATGAACCTCCGAGTCTGGACCCAGCCCAACACTCGGGCCAGGTCCTGAACCATCCATCGGCCTCCAGTGTCCCCCCCCCCTTGCCTCCCTCAGTCTGAGACTCAGCTCTGCATGCCCATGAGGAGGAGGCAGGGGCGCCCCAGGGACCGGAAGAAACTCTGGGGGACTCACTTGTCGCTTATGAACCCGAAGATGAGCGCCCCCGTCAGGAGGCCTGTCAGGAACATGGACTGCACGGCTTCCGGGGAAAATTCCTCACCACACACCAGATCAAACTGGGGATTACACGCAGGGGTTGGCCACAGGCCTCCGCCTAGGGCCAGCCGTCTGGTTCCTGAGACGGAGTCTCCTCCCCGGGTGGGCGTTTAGGCAGAAGGGGCCTGGGACAGGGACGGGCAGCAGGCCTCAGCTGTCACCCCTGCCGTCCATCCTGCATCTGGCACAATCTGGGAGTTAGGCCTGAAGAGCGGGACCAGGGGCAGAGCCAAGATAGGGGGTAGATGGAGAGGTCCCTGTTTAAAGGCCAACATCACTAAAGACCATTTCCCAAATGCAGATGCTGGGCTCCAGCCCAGAGGTTCAGATTGGCAGGTCTGTGCTCTGAAGGGCCCAGGTTGCATCTGAGACTGCTTTTTTCTCCAGCTCCCTACCTTCTGTGAGTTCAGAGGGCAGAGCCACAACTGCAGAAGCAACTCCTTGGACAGATGGCAAACCCTGCCTCTGTCCCTACCCCCAAATCCACTCTAGCTTTCTGGCTAAGAAGGGCGAGACTAGAGCTGGGCAGCAAGAATTCTAAGTTTCTGCCTCGGCCCTTCCTCTGCACGGTGACCTCGGGCCAACTCCTTCCCCTCCCCGAGTCTCAGTTTCTCCACTTGTTTGGGGAGGGGGGGCACATCTCTGGGCCCATGCCACCGGCAACTCAGGACAAGTCGCACCTCATTGATCACTGATCGCGTCTTGCTCTCAGGATAGACCCACCCCTGGCTGCACGACTGTGTGTAGTTGAGGCCATACTTGATGATGGAATCCAAATCCCAGCTCACAGGCAGGAACATGCGGCAGGTCAGGAAGCTGCCGTTTTTGAACCGGGGCAGGGTCAGATTCAGCTGCTCAGCCTCTGACAGGTTAGGGCCCACGGCCAGAATCCAGCTGGTGTTGCAATAGGCCTTCTGCTCTGCGGCCACGAGGAGGTCCGCGTACATGAACACGACCGCCAGGAGGTTGGGGATGAAGGCCAGGGCCACCAGCCTTCGTTGGAAGGGGCCAAACTTCCCCATCGCTTCCATGATACTGGCAAACTTGTCACCCTGGTTGCTCTCTATGGACCTCAACCTGCGTAACAAGAAGTCCAGAGACCAGGAACGGGGTTGTTCTGCCGCCATCTGCTGGGTTAAGTCCCTGTAAGAGGGCTGGGGTTGGAGCTCCATTGAATTGTCTTCATGTGTCATCTGTTCAGAGAAAGGATGCAGCTCAGTGTCTACCAACTGACTTGAAATTGGCCTGTCTTAGAACGATTTGGATTCCAACCTTGATGTTCTCTGTAGCTCCCACCTTTGCTTCTGAAGTTTCTTAGTTAATTTGACCCCCATTGGCCCGCCCATTCCTATTTCTTGAATGTTTTAGACAATGTCCTGCTAAGTGCTGAGTTCTCCGACAATTTCCCTGCTGCTGAAACTTAGTTTACACACACACACACCAAGGCACTACCAGTCTTGCAAAAGTAGAGTTCTCCAGGGAACATTGTTTCAAGAAAACAGCACCTAAAACATCCCCCAAATGTGGATCAGGAGTGGCCAGGAACTAAGGCCACAGAGATGGAGCTGATGCAGTGAGGCATCAAAATAGCAGGGTGAGCCCAGCCAGCGTGACTCAGTGGTTGAGAGTCGACCTATGAACCAGGAGGTCACAGTTTGATTCCCAGTCAGGGCACATGCTTGGGTTGTGGGTTCAAGGAGTGTAGGAGGCAGCCAATGAATGATTCTTTCTCATCATTAACTAGAGGCCCAGTGCACGACATTTGGGCACTGGGGTGGGGGGGTGGCCCTCAGCCCAGCCTGCATCCTCTAGCAGTCCGGGGCCCCAGGGAGTGGACCTAAGCCAGCAGTCGGACATCCCCTGAGGGGTCCTTAGTGCTGCAGCCACTGCTGCTGTGCTCGCCAGCCATGAGCCCAGCTTCTGACTGAGCGCACTGACCACCAGGGGGCAGCTCCTGCATTGAGTGTCTGCCCCCTGGTGGTCAGTGCATATCATAGCCACTGGTTGTTCCCCTGTTTGGTCGATTTGCATATTAGCCTTTTACCATATAGGATGTTTCTATCTCCCTCTCCCTTCCTCTCTGAAATCAATAAAAATATATTTTAACAAATATGTGCAAAGATACCCATTAGGGTGGCTAATACTTTAAAAACAAAACAAAACAGCAAGTGTTGTTGAGGAAGTGGAGAAATTGGAACCCTTGTACAGTGCCGCTGGGAATGTAAAAGGGCAGCCAAGGAATGCAGGCAGCTCTAGCAGCTGGAAAGGGCAGGAGAACGAATGCTCCCCAGGAGCCTCCAGGAAAGAACGCAGTCCTGCCGACTGACGCCATGACCTATGCCCAGTGAGGCCCATTTTGGACTTCCGCCTTCCAGAGCTGCGACGTAATAAATGTGTGTTGTTTGAGCCACTAAATTTGTGGTCATTTGTTACAGCAGCATAAGGAAACTAATACGGTGCATACATGTGTAAGGTGGGAGGGGGGCGGAGGTGGATGGAGGAGGCTTCCCAGGGAGGGCACTTTGCCCACAGATCTCTGGCTCTCAGGAGCCAGCTGTCCCCACCTTGCCCTCGGGGTTCCCTTCAGTGTCCCCCAGCATCACCTGAATGCCCACGGGGCTCTTGACAGTCAGCAAGGCCCTGGAGCACTTGCTCCCTCTACTGACCCCACAGGTCCCCTGGCAGGTGGACAGGCCCAAGGTAATTGGTTCTCAATGTACAAAAGAGGAAAGTGAGCCCTGGCCAGTGTTCTCAGTGGTTAGAGCATCGGCCCAAACACTGAAGGGTCTCAGGTTCGATTCCCGGTCAAGGGCACCTACCTGGGTTGCAGGTTTGATCCCCAGCTCCATTCAGGGTGCATGCGGGAAGCAACCAATCTATGTCTCTCTCTCACATCAATGCTCTCTCTCTCTCTCTCCCTGCCCCTTTCCCTCCTTCCCTCCCACTCTCTCTAAACACACACACACACACACACACACACACACACACAAAATCAATAGAAAAAATATCCTTGGGTGAGGAGTAACAACAGAAAAAGAGGAAACTGAGGCCTGGAAAATAAACATATAGCCAGAAGCAATGCTCCGTCTGAGGCAGGAAATGGCCTGATGCCACCCCAAACCCACACTTCCTGGGCAGCCTGCTCCTTTCACAGACTCCACACAGTCGAGCGGTCCTGGCAGGCTCCTGTCCACATCTGTGCTGAGAATACGGCCCCACACTTGCCAGGTGTCATCAAAACTGCCACCCTCCCCGTCCCTCCTCCCTGGAGACGGAACCACAAACCAAAGCCAGGACCCACCTCAGCATACTTCAGGCCTACCCAGGTGGTTGGCAGCAGAACCTTTGGGTTCCATTGGTGGCCAGGAAGTAGTGTCACAATGGGGCAGGGGGTGGGGTAGGCATGGTGAGGAGCAGCATTCCACTCCAGGGGCATAGCTGGCCAGAGACCCCAGGGAGAGACTGGGGCAAGACAGGTGGGAAAGTCTCCACATGAGCCAGCTCCACGCCTTTGTGCAGACTGTTCCCGGCTCCTGGGGCCCCTGCCCTCCCCTTAAAGGTCCCACCTCCACTGAGGGAAGATCTTCCATCTGTCCAGACACAACTCACCTGTCCTCAGTCCCCAGGCCTACGGTGGGGGGAGGAAGGAGAGGCAGAGGGGGGATAGGACCCCCTTCAGCTGCTCCCAGATCTGGGGGCAGCGGTGAGCGCCGAGCCTCGGGCCTGGCCCCCTAGCAGCTCTGTGCAGGGCAGTTCTTCCACTGCCGCAGCAGGGAGGGGAGAGAGCAGAGGTGGAAGACTGGTGGTGAGAAGTCTGGGAGCTGCCATAGGATGGCTTCTCCTTCTCTGGAAGGAGGAGAGGCTGTTAGGAGGCAGAATGAGGGGATGCAGATGGGAGGTTAGAAAAAGCCATTGGTGAGCCCGGCCGGCACAGCTCAGTGGCTGAGTGTTGACCTATGAACCAGTAGGTCACGGTTCGATTCCGGGTCAGGGCACATGCTCCGGTTACAGGCTCAATCCCCAGTAGGGGGCGTGCAGGAGACAGCTGATCAATGTTTCATCATTGGTGTTTCTAACTCTCCCTTTTCTTTCCTCTCTAAAATCAATAAATAATAAACGCTTAATATGCAAATTGACCAAAATGCGAAACTACTGGTCGCAATAAGGCGCACTGACCACGAGGGGGCAGGCGCTCAATGCAGGAGCTGCCCCCAGCCTGCTGGCCCCAGGCCAGCCAAGGCAGGTGCCAGTGGAGACCCCAATTGCCCCTCCGATTGCCCTGGCAGAAGGAGGTGACAGGCAGCGGCAGCGGGGAGATTGTGGGGCAGGGCTGGCTGGCAAGCAGGTGGCACCAGGCTGATCAAGGCAGGTGCCAGTGGGGCTCCCCGCCCCCTGATTGTCCCGCAGATTGCTCCACAGATCAGTCCTGATCCGCTGGCCAGGCCTAGGGACCCTACCCATACATGAATTCCATGCATCAGGCCTCTAGTATCTACACTAATAAAAGAGAAACATGCAAATTGCTGTCACTCCGCTACTCCCACCAGCCAATCAGGATGAGAATGCAAATTAACCCAACAAAGATGGCGGTTAATTTGCATATGCAGGCGCAGAGCGAAGACTGAAGGCTCCGCCGTAGCGAAGACTGAAGACTGAAGACAACTGAAGACTGAAAAGGCGTGGCTTCTCCACTGCAGCCGGAGCAAAGGCCTGGGTCCCGGGTGCCCAAGGAAAACTGGTGCCAGCAGCCAGGGGAAGGAAGGCCTATTGCACAAATCTCTTCATGCACAGGTCTCTAATATATATATGAAAAGAAAAAGCCACTGGTGAGAGTTGGAAAACAAGCTGACTAGAAAAAGCTGGTGGGAAAGCTGGGCGCAGTGAAAGGCCCAGTTGTGGCTGATGACTAGCAGCTCATTCACTGAAAAGATGTGGTGGGCGTGTGACCCTTTTCAGCAGTGCCCCACAGTGCCCAGCAGTCTGGGGTGCAGGGAGAGAAAAGGCAGATGTTTGGGTTCTTTAGCTGCTATCGTTTTGCAAATTGGGGCACAACTAAAGGGTGAAAGGGATAACGTACAGGATGCTGGCAAACAATGTCTATCTCTCCATAGAAATGAAAATGATGGCTTACAGCCTCAAATCTGAGGACAGAGGTGGGGAGGCAGAACAAGGTCTACAGACCACAGGGCCCAGTGGATGGTGTTACAGACAATGTGTCCTCCCCCAGTCTCCCACATTTCTATGTTGAAGCCCTAAGCCCCAGTGATAGGTAAAGATGGGCCTTGGGGCCCTAACTGGTTTGGCTCAGTGGATAGAGCAGTGATGGCAAACCCTTTGAGCTCGGTGTGTCAGCATTTTGAAAAACCCTAACTTAACTCTGGTGCCGTGTCACATATAGAAATTACTTGATATTTGCAACTATAGTAAAACAAAGACATATTTTTGATATTTATTTTATATATTTAAATGCCATTTAATAAAGGAAAATTAACCAAAAAAATGAGTTCGTGTGTCACCTCTGACACGCGTGTCATAGGTTCGCCATCACTGGGATAGAGCGTCAGCCTGTGGACTCAAGGGTCCCAGGTTCTATTCTGGTCAAGGGCATGTACCTGGGTTGCGGGCACATGCCCAGTAGGGAGTGTGCAGGAGGCAGCTGATTGATGTTTCTCTCTCATCGATGTTTCTAACTCTCTATCCCTCTCCCTTCCTCTCTGTAAAAAAATCAATAAAATATATTTTTTAAAAAAAGAAGATGGGCCTTGGGGAGGTAATTTGGGTTCGATGAGGTCATGAAGGCAGGCCTTCCTGATGAGATTAGTGGCTTTCTAGGAAGGAGAGAGATCTCGCACCCTCCATCCACACACACAGGAAAGACCATGTGAAGGCAGCACGAGAAGGTGGCTGCCTGCAAGCCAAGATGAGAGCCCTCATCAGAACCTGCCCCTGCTGGCACCCTGATCTTGGACTTCCAGCCTCTAGGACTATGAGAAAATAAATTACTGTTGAAAACCACCCACCTCTGGCACTGGGTGAACTTAAGGCCAGGTCAGTGGGTTGGACTTGGTGGGCACAGTGTCAAAGTAGAGGAGGTGGCAAGGGAAGTGCGGGTGCCTTAGCCTTTGACAGTGACACAGGGAACACAAGATGCACAGCACAGGGCCCAATCTCAGGGGTCTCTCTGAGGAGGGTGGGCACTAAGCCTGGTGGCC